CCGCTAACTGTTCTGATTCCGCTAGAATCAGCCAGTTGTCTATGCAATTCAGAATGTGTAAGCACTGCAGCCTGGCGGGGCCAGAGCTGCATCTACGCGCTTCGTGAATGTGCGGGGTAATAGAGCTAGACCGAAAGGAAGTGCCTGATACTGGTGTTCTTTGCCCCTGAAATAAACCCTCAGGAACCTCCTGTGCTGAGGGAGGATGGTGATGTGGAAGTATGCGTCTTCAGATCTATCGTGACAAACCAGTCCTCGGATCTGATTTGAGTCACGATCTGTTTGAGTGTCAGCATTGGACTTGAGTTCCAGCACCGAACACTTCAACAGACAAAGATCTAGTAAGTGACGCAGTTCTCCATCCTTTTTTGGAACAATGAGATAACGACTGTAAAGACCGACGCATGTCGAGTGAGTAAACCTGCTCTATAGCTTTTCTTTGCCAACAGGGCCTTTACCTCTTGCTCCATTACCAGAGTCTGCTCGGGATGCACTAACGTGAGCAACACCCCGTTGTAACCTGGAGGACGAGAACCAAATCTGCCTCTTATTACTAACTGCAGGACCCATAGAAATATATTTGACAGTAGCTTCCGCGCTGCCAGGAAATCTACTAAGGGAACCAGCCCCTCGAGGCTGGTCTCTGGTGTAATTGAGACAGCCAGTTAGGGGACCTGAAGCATACTGGCAGGAACCACCCGAACTGACTGTTTTCGAACCCCCCTCAGAGGGCGCGAGACCGGCGCAATGTCGAGTTGACGCTGCGCCAGAAGCTCGCTGGAGACCACTGCGCCCCGATGCACCAAGGGTGGCGGGGTTGGCAGAACGGTCCCCTGAGGGCACCGAGATGGAAAGGGCACCGTATAATGAGGTGTACACCATTTCACCCCGGTTGGGGCTGCCCTCACCGGTCTGACGCCGGTGGCGCCAAGACCTCTTCTTTTGAGCCGAAGCCTTCTCAGCGTGAAGAACGGTCCTCGGATCCGGCTTCAGCTTTGAAGGCTTTGGCTGTTGTGTTGCATATGAGAAACTAGGCGGCTGGAGCTGCTCACGCCCAGCAGCTCCAGGGGGTTGGACAAAGCGAGAGAGAGATTCTCTTGCATCTTTCTCCATGATTTCCATCAAAATGAGCCAGAGGTGTCTCACAGTGACCACAAGGGCTGCCATAGACCGCCCAATTGCTTAGGCGGTCTCCTTAGTATCCCTGAGAGATACATCTGTGGCCCGACGAAGTTCTCAAACACCATCGGGCCAAACTCCCTCACTTCTGTCCAGTACCCCAGCAGGTCAGCCTGATATGCTTGTAGCACTGCTATTGTGTGCAAGCAGGCTCCTGCTAGACCCACTGCCGTAAATGATTTTCCCACTAGATTAAAAATAGTTTTCTTTAATGATTTAGTGAGAGAAACCGACACCTTCAGGGACGATACTGAACCGGGAGACAGATAGCTCGCAAGCGTCTGTTCTACCCGGGGTATTGCCCAATAGCCATACTCTCTTAACCCTCTGGGGTCTGAGGTGTTTTTGGGGTCCTTGAGATGTTTTGACATGCCCTGACATTTGTGCTTATTTCAGCTACTTAAAACATACCATTTGCCAACATATACATTTGCTGTATTCAGCACAAACTCTGCTACAATAATATGTGAGCAAAATGGATGTACATTTTATAGAAAAAAATATTATGCGTGGTTAGTACGTTTTGGGGGAAAAAATGTCACCGCAATAAGGCCATTTAACACATACTGAATAGTTATCCACAAGACTTTTGAATTACTATCCTTGTAGGCTAGAATTTTTACTTCAAAATGAAGTGAAGATCATTCTGACCACTCTTTCACAAACAACAATATAATGATTTAAATTTCTTACGTCAGTTTTTGGTCAGCACTGCTGTATGCGTGGGAGTGTGAATGGCCATGAATATTAATGTGATTTACACCTGGGAAGACTAAAGGCACTCCCCCAATGGCTAATGCCCTATCAAGGTGCTGTGAGGCAGCCTGAACAAAGAATGATTCACTGATGAATAAAAAGTTAAAAAGAACAGCATTTATTCAAAATATAAATCTTTCCTAAGAACGTAAAGACTTAAAGTCATTACTATCACTTAACACATCCTTTCAAAAAAACAAACATACAAAGACCAAACTTGTTTTTTTATATATCTAAAAAAGTGGACTGCCTGTTGCTTGCCTGCTTGTTTGCCTTGGCTCTCTTCGGAACTGGTGGATGGACGTGTTCATTGTCACATCTGTTATAAAAAAGAAAAAAGCATGAGCATGCTGATAACACAATCAAATAAACTGTATTATTATCATTATCAATCACTAATTGCCATGGATCTTTTTTTTTTTTTTTTTTTCACACAAGAATAGGTAGCCTACTTTTACATTATGACAATGTAAACACAATTAGGCTAAATTTCATCTGTAAAATATTACGTCTGTGCACTTACTCAGTATGATTCTCGATCGCACTGAGAACTGAACGGCACCAGGTGCTGGCGAAGGAGAGCATGATGCAGACACATTCCTAAAAAAAAAAAAAAAAAAAAAAAAAACTGTTAGCATACATTATCCAAAGTAAACTGATGGACAATTAATGGGTATGGATGCAAAATGTATGTATATATCTGTTGATGGGCCATGGGACGGAGAAATATCTGTTGATGGCCCATATAGACCGCACGCATTTAGTGATAGGACTACACGCAATGAACGGATCGTTCGCGAACGACACATCACTGCATTTCAAACATTTACACCTGTATTCAGTTATTTACGCATGATATAGTGTCATAGGCTAACCAAAACTGAACATTTAATTATATAAAAAATATATTGTATTTAGACCTCTTTTACCGGAGCCTGAAATATATTTCTCGTTATATAACCTAAGCAGTTATTCGCAAACAAAATAGGCTACATTACGCATAAGGCACTATTTTAGCATAAGTAGTGTCATAGGCCAGTGATTCCCAAACTGTGGTCCGCGGACCACTACTGCAGGTGGTCCGTAGAAAGGGCAAAATAAAATATAAAAGAATATTTTTTTTACCTTCATTTTACCAGGAAATTCCCATAAATAAATAAAAAGAAAATGTAGGCCTATATTGATATAACATTTAAATTAAATTGTCAAGTTATTGTGCTTATATTAAAGGTGCCCTAGAATGTTTTTTTTTATTATTTTATAATGTTTCCTGGGTTACCCTTATAATGTTAGTATGTTTTTTAGATAAAAAATATTCATAATTTAGAAATAAATGGCATTTTTCCTAGCCTGCTTTTAGCCTCTGATTTGAACACTCTGTTTGAAGGGGCGTGTCTGCTGTGGGATTCAGTGTAACCGCGGCCACTGCTGTGATTGGCTGACATGCTTGCATATGAAATAGCAACGCATTACATGTGAAACTCTCTCCCGAATACTTTTACTACTGCTATTATACGTTTTTACTATAACAGCTATCGAGATTAACGAATCGTGAGATGTTTTTAAAGTATTTAGATCTATTCCCATCACATAAAATGTTGCCATGGTGAGCATTGAGCAGATGACAGTCTGTTGATCGCGAGAATGAAGATCTTATCATTGCAAAGCAGTTTCTGCACTCTCTCTGCTTTCACCAATGCAAACACGATGATGTAAATACAGTAAGAGCTTCGTTGTGCAGTAACGTGCGTCATTGATTTCATAACGAGTTTGGCAAGTGTCCAGATAAACTCGCGCTGTGTGGAAAGATTGTTCTTTGATCGCTTTCTGTATATAATTTGTTCACAATTTAAATACGATTATTTTCATCCTACTAAAAGAAACGATGTGAAGCTGATATTTTAGTCACTGGCTTGACTTACTGATGCATAAACAGTATTGAACGATTTTGAGAGAAAGATTACCTGTCTGAACTTGAACAATTACACATCAGAAAGTGTTGCTTGGTAGCTCGATCCGAGGCCAGCTCTGTATTGGCCCAAGTTGAGGAAACACTCGGTGAAATGTTTGGAAATTTCCAGAGAAAATAAAATTGACCCATTGTTTCTTTAGAGGCTCAGATGAAGGAACTAAAAAATACTTTTGTGTTCATGTGTACATCCACACTGAGCAACTGCCATGCTTCGGCTGCGCAGTTCCGCCTGGCATTGAGGGCTGGCATTATGCAAATATTTGAAGGCGTACATATTAATGATCCCGACTATTGCGTCACAGTTGGTATTGTGTGGAGAACCGACCGTTTTTCAGGGGTGTTTTTCATAAACGTGAATTAAATGAGAACGCCAAAACAGTCCAGTTTGAGATTCACTCTATGTCATGTCCATGCACTGAACTCGTTATTTGACTATACCAAGGTAAATTCAATTTTGAATTATAGGTCACCTTTAAAATGAGCTAGTGGCGCTCGGCCGTGACGTTCAAGTTCAGTGCCGTTAGAACCACAATATGGATCGGTGGATAGAAACAGGTTCTCTGAAGAGAAAAGAGGCAACCAATAAAGAGATTCACAGTGAGTCGGAGGCATCTACGAGCCAGATTCCTCATAAAAAAACTAAGAAAAGGAGGGTGAAGAGAAAATACGACGAAAGCTACTTAGCATTAGGTTTCAGCTACACGGGCCCCGAAGACGAGCCGTTGCCCATTTGCGTTTGTTGCTACGAGGCACTGGCTAACGAGAGCATGAAGCCATCAAATCTTCGCCGGCATCTGGAAACCAAGCATGGGGAATTTAAGTCCAAGCCAGTCGAGTTTTTCAAAAGCAAGCTCTAGGAATACCGCACAAGCAAAAAAGTTATAGAATCGACATCTGCAGGTGGTGCTATTGCTAAAGCAGTGGAAGTCTCTTATCGGGTGTCCCGAATCATTGTAAAAAAAGGGATGCCACATACACTCGGGGAGGAGGTGGTGCTCCCAGCAATTAAAGAGACTGTGGGTATCATGCTGGGTGACAAAGCACGACAGCAAATGGACTTGATTCCATTATCAGACAACACTGTGCAGCGGAGATGGCCAGCAATGTGAACGACCAGCTAATATCGCGGATCAAAGCCAGTCGATATTTTGCTCTTCAGCTGGACGAATCCACTGACATAGCGAACCTCGCTAACCTGCTCGCCTACGTAAGGTATGAATACAACGGAGAAATAGAGGAGGAATTTCTCTTTTGTAAACCTTTGCAGACACGCACAACCGCAGAGGCACTTTTTGACATGTTGAACGGTTTCATCACAGAACATGGGATTGATTGGTCAAGATGCGTGGGAATAAGCACAGACGGGGCAGCAGCCATGGTAGGCCAACACACCGGCCTTGTTAAACGTGTGCAAGCAGTTGCTCCGCAAGCAAAATCTATCCACTGCTGCATCCACAGAGAGGCTCTCGCAGCCAAAAGAATGCCACCTGATCTCAAAACTATTCTGGATGAAGCAGTAAAAACTGTCAATTTTATCAAGGCCCGCCCACTGAATTCAAGACTGTTTTCAGTTTTATGCGACGAGATGGGCAGTGAGCACCGACAATTGCTGCTCCATACCGAGGTCCGGTGGCTGTCAAGAGGGAAGGTGCTTGCACGGCTTTACGAGTTGCGAGATGAGGTGAGACTGTTTCTACTTGACTCCAAGTTCGACCTTTCTGGTCGATTCAATGATGCTGACTGGCTTGCCAAGTTGGCATATCTGTCTGACATTTTTGAGCACTTGAATGGACTAAATAGGAGCCTACAGGGGAAGTCAGTTACTCTTTTTCATACGCAAGACAAAGTTGAAGCCGCAATTAAGAAGATGGGGATGTGGGCCAGGCGCGTGGAGGAGGCAAACTATGACTCATTTCCAAATCTTTCTGATTTTTTAGACAGCTCAGACACGCACCTTTTAAGTGCTGTGCAAGATGATATCAGACAGCACCTGCACCTGCTAAAAACTCAGCTACGGATTTATTTCCCAACCCCCGACACAACAGCGAATTGGATAAGAAATCCGTTTGCCACACTGGATGACTACATCCTGACAAACCTCACCTCCAGAGAGCAAGACAGCCTGGCCGAACTGTCCTGTGACAGTGCTTTAAAAATGGACTTTTCTGAGAAATGCCTGCCTGCTTTTTGGCTGAAAGTTGCCACAGAATACCCCGAGCTGTCCGACAAAGCCCTGAAGTGGCTTGTGCCTTTTCCAACAACTTACCTCTGTGAATCAGGATTTTCATCCCTGGTCATGTTTAAGTCAAAATATTGGAACAGACTTAATATTGAACCAGATCTCAGATTGAGGCTGTCATCACTGGAACCTGACATCCAGAAATTAACGTCTGCAAAGCAACATCATCCATCTCATTAGGTGAGCCAACACGATCTCATTAAAGTGCGTATCTATACCACGAATTTAATTTCACGTACCATTTATATGCTACAAATATTTTTTGCGTGCATATGCTACGCACTGGAAACCCCTTGGGTAGGATTAGGGGTTTGGAGTGCGTGCGTATTACACGCCATAAAGTGCGTATCATATGCACGCAAAAACTATTTTTAGCATATAAATGGCACATGAAATTAAATTCGTGGTATAGATACGCAGTTTCATGAGACCGAGCTGGTCAGCATGTATTTAGTTGTTTGTTTGTTTGTTTTTAATATAGGCCTATATTAGACAGACAGACGATAAAAAGAGGAAGGGAAAGATGTGGAGGGGGACAAAGGGGGATATTAGCCTACGTTCATATCGGGCTAGCAAATAGACTCCAATGGCTTTTCCTTTTGACAACTTTTATTTTTATTTTTAACCTGGAGTAGGCCTGCTGTATTTTCATTAAAGGCCATGGTGCAGGTTAAACACCACTGTCGATTAATGGGTACATAAAGCAGTTAAGATATGTATATAAAGTTAGAAATGTCTCCAAAATTGTGTTAAAGTCCAGTTTTTGACGTTTTTGGTTAGTAACGGTTATTTTTTTACGCGACTCGGCGATGACGTCACATGAGGTAGACGCAGGCAGCGGTGCGCTTTGTTTAGTTACAGTTCTGATGGTTCACAGCCGAGGAGATCGATGTTCTCGTCAGGGCCGTAAAATAAAGAGAAGTGACATTGGGCCGGGGATGGGACAAACCCACCCAAATTAGCTTCGGTTAAACATGCACATAATAATTTGGGTAAATGTGTACGCTTTATGCCTATTTTTCCTATCGTCATGAACACAACAATGATTTCACTCGTGTTTAAATAGTTTTCCTCATAATAATGTATCATTTGCAAAAAGTAAAATGCATCTGTGTAGATGAGAGAATCATCTACAGTGTATGCGCGTTGTTCATTCTGTATTATGGCCAAGCATGCGCGCTTAAAATAGCATCTGAATGTACGCGCTAGACCTAGACTTTAGACTAGGTTAGGGTGACCAACAGTCCTGTTTTCACGTCCTGTCCTGGCTGGGTTTTTTTTTTTTTATTATGAAAATGTCCTGGTTTTCAAAACTTCTGGGAAAGATCAGCTCTAAAGCAAAACATAGATGGGCAAACAAGGAGAATGAGGAAGAAAAACAGGATAAAGAGGAAGACTAAAGATACATTTTGTTAGTTTGTTTTTGTAAGCTTGTGAGAGCTATTTTTGTTAAATTTGGAGGTATTTCTTTTAGTTATTTCTTATTTATATATTTATTTTTCTAATACAGAAGAGACATTATTTCATTCATTCAAACCTGTAATAATTATATATTTCTTTTTCTAATACAAGAGACATTTCATTCATTCAAACCTTTAATAAAACAGGCTCTGAGAAGGCTATCTGAATTTGTGTCTTGTAATATAACCATTTTCTACAGAGGAGGCATAGGCTACTTTAAATATACTGAAATTAATAAGGCATCATTGAGTAAATTTCGAGTATAATTTGAGTATCTGTTTGCCAGGCCGAGTGTCCTGCTTTCACCTCTATCTCCAGTGAAAATGTTGTTTGCAAACGTAGCTGACGACGAGTAGGCTGGTCATGTCTTCAGTCAGTGTGATTATTGTTGATAGTGCTAACTAGTTTTCCTCATGATTGTCATTGACACCGTCAGGCTTACCAGGAGAGGGAGTGAGTTGTGGGCGGTGTCGTCCCATGGAAACTGTGGTGGAGAGCTTGTGTTGTAGGGAGGTGAGCGCGTTTTGGTCGCTGGTCGAGGACCTCACCCCGCGGCCAGCAGTTGTAACGTGCCTAACGCAGCATCCTGGATATGAGGCATAATGCCTGAATCCGTTTGTGCTACACATAGCATACTCACACTTCATGCAGGATAATGGTCCCCTTCAAGCCAGCACGCACGAGTATGTTCATGGTTTATGTTTACTTTACCTTTTTATTTTTTTACACTGAGTCCTTTGAACAACAGCTATAGGTGACAGGAGATGTGTTGCATACACAATAAACATGCATCAGAGACGTTTCCAACCTACTTACAGAGTTTAAAACTTAAGAATCTTTCCTACTTATCCCTAGGCAATACCGGTACACTGCGTACAGGCAGGCTATACGCTGGCCTGGGCTTGGAGTTTTAGGCAGGAGTATAAGAAGCCTCTCGTGTGGTTTCAACCATCAGACAACAATTCCAAAGTCGTGACCAGACCTATCAGGGCTTTCAATCGCCTCGTTTGGATGAAAATGTATAAAAATAATAATTGCTTATTCTGTTGTGATCGCCCAATTTGCCCTCAAAATGTTATAAAGTACACAGAACACATGAATTTCTATAAGAAAAAAAAAAAAGTTTATTGGCATTGCTTGTAATGGTTACTAAACATTTACTGAACAAGGACAAAGATTACTGAACAAAGACACAGGTTGCAAGTAAACAAATCTATATAAAAAAAAAGCCCACTGATGTAGGGCTAGACCTGAAACGTTTGCACATTGTTTCTTTTGCCTGCAATAGTGTGAGCCATAGAGAGAGAGAGTTGCAACACTCCCATAGACCGCCATAGGAACTTAAAAATGCGCAAGTAACGCGTGTCGTGGAGCAGCCAATAGTTCCAAACACTGATAGTTCCAGCATTGAACCCCATTCATGTTCAGTGCTTCCGAAGTACGCTCGCTGGTAAAATAATGAAAATACTGTATTTTTTTTTACTTTTACACACATTAGCCGACCTCTCGTGAATCTAGTCAGTATATTTTATGTAGCCAGTTTTAGTTAATGCTTATTGGAAGATAATGGGTTACTTGCAGCTAGCTATAGCTCACATTACCAACTCTTCATTAAAGTTAGCTAACTTCTGGTAACCTGAAGTATATATTATATTATTTATAATATATATGCATAGCATATGCATGTATGTATGTTTGTACGCCTATGCATATATACACACATAACCCTAACCCATTTAAATAAATGAATTGTGTGTGTGTGTGTGTGTATATATATATATATATATATATATATATATATATATATAGTTTATATTTACCGAACATTACTGCAAATTTGTACATGCACACTTATATTTTATGTTGGTTGTAATTCTGAACGGACCGCCTCTCCAGACCTCTTTGCGTGATCACGAAGGTAGGCTAATGGCTGAATCGGAATTTATAAGCAAGATCACGGGAATCAATAGCCTAAGAAAAAAAGTAATGATTTTGTGCAAAGTAAAACCAAAGCAACAGCACACAAAGAAAAAAAAACATGCAGAATGCAGGAAACCACCACTAAATGAATACTTACAACTAAATCATTGACTTGTCTGTGGAAAGAAAATAATGTGAAATTAGGTTCTTGTAGCGTGACTGCCGGGCTAGGTAGAGGCTGACGGCCTCCTCAGGAACCTGTTTGAAGGATGTGGCGATGGGGGCGAGTGCATCAGGACAAACTGGCGCTAACCTCTCGAAGAGCTGCAGGTGAATTGGTGTAGCTTTCCCGAAGGGCCTTCATTAATGATGTTGCATAACCTGCAGACATAATAATAATACTGTATAAAGACCATTGACACTAATGGAAACACATGAAATTGTCCTGCATATGAATTATAGCAAACATAAACAGTAAACAGAATGTTACGAGATTGCCAGGGAGATTACAGTACAGTGGACCCTGATATGCGCTACTAAATGTTTTAAAAAATACATAAAAGAAATTCAGAACATATTTGATTATTTGAATGTTACAATTAAATGTTTACACCAATCCTAGTGGTAATACATGTGGTAAAGTTACATAAACTCTACGAGGTAGTGAATTTACTGAGAGGTAGCTAAACTCTGAAGTGAGAAGTGGATAAACTGTTTCTGACATAATTTCAGCGGTGGGTAAACTGCGTTTAGCCTCCACTACAGCCCTGACGACACGGTCACGGTCAAATGTGAAAGAGAACCGTAGCAGTCTAACACAAAAAGCAAACACACGATTGCGAAAGCCGCTTGATGATCATCACCACTGATCCAAACACTAGCCATGAAGCTTTCATGACGATATGGACATTTACTTCAGGGCAATTTTGTTTTGGCTCAAATTCGTGAATCACGAAAAATGCTCTTCTAATGTCAGAGTGATCGTGCTTGTAGTGGAGGCTGTGTCAAAGGGAACACGGTAGCTATACAAAATACACACAGAGCTAGCTAGCACGCAGCTTGTAAACATTAACGTTAGAATGAACTTACCGTGGCAATATCTCGCTTGCGGCAGACGGTGTCTCTCGACCTCGGGACAGGGCAAGCAGAGAGGTTTGCATTCACAGACGGCACGGCGGTAGGAAGTAACTTTGCCATCCTCTCACTCTTTAATAAACTAAGTGAGACCATCTTGGCATCCCCTGAGTGGTAAATTAATCCTCCTCTTTGAAATGCGCGCTGCATATTCTCGAGTAGGCGGCGACAGAGCTAACTTAGCTGAAAAATCTGCTCGCCTAATCTTGACAAATTGCACCCAGCTTCGGAAGCTCCCTTTGTCCTTGGGGAAACAATGGACCCCATGTCCAGTTTTGATAAAGTTTTTGCACCCGCCACAAACACAGTAATAAACCATTTTGTCTACTTATTATCTAGCTTACTCTTCTCTATCTCTAAGCTGTTATGCTATGCTATCTCTCACTATCTATCTATGTTATGCTTATGATATCTATCTATCTATCTATCTATCTCGATATATTTACTTATCTGATACTGTCACTCTTTCACTAGCTACCGTTAGCTAAGTTACTACTCGCGGGCTTTCGTCTGTTGTCCAACAGCGAGTACCTCATGTGACGTCATGCAATGCATTGTGGGAGAAATTAGAATCCTCGCTAGGCTAGTGGTAAATGCTAACACATCACCGACTTTTCCGTATTATATTTCTTTTTTGTAATCCCCTACAACATAAAATACAAAGG